CACTGAGTTGGAAGTTGCCCCTGATCCAGGTGTAGCCCCAAAAGGAAACAGCGAAGACACACAGATCCCTGGACTCTATGTAGCACTGTCCTCCCATGGTTCGTCAGTTTTCTGGAGTGGGCACCAGTAACGTCTCCATTGTGAGACTTGTTACTGTGTTTGGCATATCGAATACGCCAGGGGCAGATTGCCAGGCTCTGCCATACGGGCGGGATCCTCTCGGTAGCTTGCCGGGCTCTCCGAGAGGGATGGAGGAATTGAACCCGGGTCGGCTGCATGCGAGGCAAATGCCCTACCTGCTGTGCTATCACTCCAGCCCCCTGGATTATATACCTTTAGAAATTCTGGTTCAACTGACGTGCCGTGAGATTTAGAAAACTTGAGGTATGCTGGGTTATTCTGATGCCAGCGGTCCACCGGTCACCTTTTGAGAGATTAAAAATGAGAAACTCCAGTCTGGGGCTGTGACTTAGTGGCTCCGAGTGTGATCCCTCCTCCTGGCACCATGGTGCCATCCCAGCGGCCTGCCGTTGGCCATCCCTGGGGAGTTCCTGGTGCCCTGAACCTCAGTCAGGGGTGTGTGGGAAGGTGCGGATGGTGTCCACAACAAAGATGGGGGTGGGGGGGTGGGAAGGAACACAAATCAAGGCGAAAACACAAACAGTCATAGAATCCGTGACTTGTCAAGGGACCAGGTCCAAGAAGAGGCGATTTGAACCCAAGATTCCCCGGACAGATGCTGGGAGCCCGGTCTGTGCTCTGAAATAGGAACAGCCAAGCTTCCCCCACCTCCCTCCTGCTGTCGGCCCATTGTGAGGATAAAATGAGATAATGTAGGAGAAAGTGCTTTTTTAAAATGTAGAACTGGCAGCATTGTTCAAGATTATGCGAACGCATGCCAATGAGGCCCGTGGGCGTGGCTGTTCACTTGGGGAGCCTTTCAGGAAAGGCTGGAGAGAAACTGCGAGAACTTGTGTGTGTGTGAGTGTGTGTGTGTGTGTGTGTGTGTGTGTGTTTGGGGGGGCAGAGTTGTGGGCTGTGACCCTGTGACACGGACTGATCAAAATGGAAAGAGGCCCACAGGATTGGGCGCGGGGTGTGGCTGGGACCCAGGCCCTGCTCCCTGAATGCAGAGGCCCTGAAGAGAGGAGACCCCAGCTTCCGTTTGAGCCCCCCAGGTCCAGATCACCTCTTTGTCCTGTGCCAGCCCTCTGGGCGATGCTGGCTGAGTCCCCGCTCCCGGGGGCCTGAGAAGCTCTTTTAAGCTCCTCAGCCTCTCTTTCTCCTCCCTCATGAAGCCTCAGCCCTGGCTGACTCTGGGACTCTTCCCTGTTTCCATGGGAGGCCGGTCCAGTGGGGAGGCTGGGAGCGGTGGGGAGTGGCCCACGGAGGCAGCCCGGCTGCACCCTCCAGCCCCTCAGCCCTGCCACCACGCCACAGACGCCACGTGTAGCTGTGTCTGGGGTCCGCAGTGCTCCTCTGTGCCTGAGGTGAGACCTGGCCCGGGGCACTTCCTGGCTGGCTATTTGGGGCACCCCAGTTCCAAAGCTGCTGAGACCCCAGGATTCCCGGGCCGGCTTCAGTTCGGGAATGCCATCGTTCTCCCTCCCCCGGCCTCCCTGGGAATTGCTGCTAATTTCAGCCTCTCGTCCCTGACTCACTCTGCTCCTCCCTGACTCGCTGGTGACCTTGGATTTCTGAAGCCCCTCACAGTGGGGGGATTGCCGTGGCCAGGAGGGAGGGCAGGCCTGATGGAAGGAGCCTGAGAGGGGATGTTTAATTGCTTGCTTTAAAACTCACCTTCTCGGGGGCTGGAGCAATAGCACAGCGGGGAGGGCGTTTGCCTTGCATGCGGCCAACCTGGGTTCGATTCCCAGCATCCCATATGGTCCCCTGAGCACCGCCAGGGGTGATTCCTGAGTGCAGAGCAAGGAGGAACCCCTGTGCTTTGCCAGGTGTGACCTAAAAAGCAAAATAAATAAGTAAATAAATAAAGTAAATAAATAATTAAAACTCACCTTCTGAAGTCAGGGCCTTGTTTGCTTGGTGCCTGCAGGGAATGGACTTCTCAGAACCTTCCGGGGGAACAGCTGACCCCTAGAATCCGGAGGGTGCAAAGCATGAGGGGTTGTCTCTCCAGGCAAAGCATCCATTGAGGAAGACGCCTGGCTCTGTTCACCGCATCCCTCTCCCTCCTCCACCCCATTTTGCCTCTGGGGAGGTTGCTAGAGGCAGAGGCCAGGCCTGGTACAGTCTGGGATTCTCTGGCACAACTCCAGGAAGGCACGGGTTAATTCTGCTTTGTCCTGGTTGATGGATTCTGGAATCATAATCCATTAGCTCTGCCTGGATGGAGGGAAGCCAGGCGAAGCGTTCAGATTGGTCTTTGTTCTGCGCCTTCGCCAGCCCTGCCAGGGACAGAGGGGCTGTGGGCACATCCCCGCCCTCCCTCCTCGCCAAGGCCCCCAGACACAGTGGCAGGGTCTGGGGGTGGGATTGGCGGGGGCTCTTTGATTGCTGGTGATCCTAGGGCTCCCTCTCCCAGGGGGGGAGTCAAGTATGTTCGGGTCTTGGTTGTTCAGTTCATTCTTCAAATACCACTCCGGGAACGTGTACCCCTGGCTTTGCTGGGCAGCGCAAGTCTGAGCCAGAGTTTTCTGACATGGCGGGGGAACGTTGGGAGGTCAGAGGTGAGTGGGGACCCTGGGCTCAAAATCAGGCAGGGAGTGGCAATCATGTTTGGTCTGGGGGTATGGTGCCGCCAGCAGGTCAATCTGTACCTGTGAGGCGAGTGCATCAGCAGCCTGATGGCGCCTTCAGACTTCCAGATACCCCAAAATTGCTGCTGTGCCTTTGGCCAGACCCCAAAAACTTGGGGCAAAGTTTACCAAGAAAGTAAACGGCCAAGAGTTAGGTATGTGGGAGACACACCCACAAACCACCTCCAGCTCAGCTATATAATTGAAGGCAAGGCCTCTCTGGTTCCTGATTGAACTGCTTAATGGACATGATCCCAGAGACTCAGAAACAAATCTCGGAACCCAGCGGCTTTAGGTAGAAATGCATCTGGTCCTGCAGTAGGCTACCGGTGCTGGGCCAACCCAGGTGGGAATAGGTTTCGTGCCTTGGCCTGTTCCCCCCGGCGGCCCAGTGGCCACCATCCTTCAGAGGCCACTGGATAGTCACATTTGGGCCCCCAGTGGTGAGACACACAGGGCCTCACAGGATGGGGGTGGAGCTGGACTTGTCCTCCCCACCCCAACGAGACCCCAAGTCATCGCCCACGAATGGCCTCTCTGGCTCCTGATCAAGCTGCTTAACGGCCATGATCCCAGAGACTCAGAAACAAATCTCGAAACCCAGCAGCATTTGGCAGAAATGTGTCTGGACCCCACAGTAGGTTACTGTCGCCGGGCCACCCCAGGGGGGAAAGGGTGCTTCCTTCCGCCTGTTTCCTTCTGGCGGCTTGGTGGCCATCATCCTCCAGAGGCCACGGGACAGTCAAGCTTGGGCCCGCAGTGACGAAACTTGTTGGGCCTCACGGGATGTGGGGGAGCCGGGCCTTCCTCCCCACCCCAACGAGACCCCAAGTCATCGCCCATGAACGGCCTCTCTGGCTCCTCATCAAGCTGCTCAATGGCCATGATCCCAGAGACTCAGGAGCAGATCTCGAAACCCAGTGGCTTTTGGCAGAAATCCCTCCAGATTTAAGTGTCAAAACTTCGGAATTTCAAAACCACATGGCCCTACTGCAGCCACGTGACATATATTATTCATAACCAGCAATAGAACACAAATTGTCTATTGTTGCCTTTTCAGCAGATCTGAGTGTTGGGGTAAAATCTCAAATAATAATGGTGGGTCTGGTGTCAAAATATTGAATGTGATCAAAGTAGAGAGAGAGTAATGTAGAAATCATCTGCCCCACAGGTAGGGGGAGGGTGTGGGATGGGGGTATACAGGGGTTTTGGAGGGTGGAGAATGGGCACTGGTGAAGGTACGGGTGTTTCATTGCATGACCGAGACTTAGACCCAAAAGCTTTGTAACTGCTCTCACGGTGATTCAATAAATAAAATTATAAAAAATGAAAAAAAAAAGTAAGATGGAGTTCATGCACAATTCAATCAGCTAATCAGTGGCTGAATAAATAGCAGTACTCCTACAAAAGAAAAATCATGTTTGGTCTAGAGTCTACTTTCAGCATGCTTCTCCCACCCTGGGAGGATCCTCCCAACACCCTTTATTTGGTGCTCTCTTCTTTATCTGAGCTTCCTTTTCCCCTGGCACGTGTGGCTGGCCTCCAAGTCATGGAGCAAAATTCCTGGTACTAATCTCGGCCACTCCTGGGTGTTAGTCTCCCATTTTGTTGCTTATAACTGAAACCCAAGCACAAAAATTTGTAAGTCTATAACTGTATGCTCTGGTGTTTCACTAATAAAAAATAAATAAATAATAATAAAATTTAAAAAAATCAGGCAGGGATTAAACTTTAGGGCTCGAGACTAATACTGTGGCAGTAGCCTGGGATGAAAAGCATTAGCTGCTGTTATGGGCTGGAGCGATAGCACAGCAGGTAGGGCATTTGCCTTCCACGCAACTGACCCAGGTTCGATTCCTCTGTCCCTCTTGGAAAGCCCAGCAAGCTACTGAGAGTATCCTGCCCACCTGCATGGCAGAGCCTGGCCAGCTCCCCTTGGCATATCTGATATGCCAAAAACAGTCACAACAAGTCTCCCAATGGAGACGTTCCTGGTGCCTGCTCGAGCACATGGATGAACAACGGAGGACAGTGTGACCGTGTACTTGTACTTGTACTTTGGCTACTGTTCAAATAACAAGTGACTGATGAGAGACGGAGGCAGCTTCTGTAAAACACACCATCTGAAGGTGCCTGGTTTTCAGGACAAGAAGTGGCACCTAAGCAAGATGTCTGTCTGGTCTGTCTGTCCCCTCCCGCCGCCCCACCCCCCACACCCCCTTCCCGTTTCTCGCCCCGTAGGCTGCGCTACATGGTGAAACAGTTGGAGAATGGGGAGGTGAACATTGAGGAGCTGAAGAAAAACCTGGAGTACACGGCGTCCCTGCTGGAGGCTGTCTACATAGACGAGACACGGTGAGAGCAGCAGGCGGGGGCCTGGGGGCTTCTGTGAGAGGAGGAAGGGGTCGGATCAGACAGACACACGGACGTCTTGGGAGGGGCAGGGGCCTCCGGTGCAGAGGGCCAGGCCTGGAGCTGGGAACAGTCAGAGGAAGGGAAAAAGCATTGGGCAGCAGAGGCAGAGGGACGGACAGGGTGGTGGACACCCCTCAGGGAGGACCGCAGCTGGGCTGGGGGGGGGCCTCGCCGCTCACAGAATTGCTGGGTGTAGAACCTTCCAGACCCATCAAGGCCCAGTTGAGGTGTCGCGGGGCATGCGCGTGAAACTTGGCATGCGGGAGCTGGAACGTCAGTGCACGTGGAAGATGCAGGCTGCCTTTCAGACAGGGAAAAATGGGAGTGTGACATATTTCCCCCAGATATTTCCTGCTGATTCCGTGGTTGAGAGGATGCTATTTTGGTTGCATTATTAAGGCCGACTCAATTGTTTCATTACAGTGAATTTCACGAGTTTTCTTTTTGACTTTTCATGTGGCTCTGAGAATCTTTGCGAATGACTTGGGGCTGGGGAGACAGCTCAGAGGGCCTGTGCGCTTGCTTCGCACGTGGGGTGGCCTAGGTGTGAGCCCCGACAACCCGCTGGTTTCCTGGAGTGCTTCTAGGTGTGGTCCCAAAGTAAATGAAAAAAAAACACCAAAAATCCCCCCACGCAGGAGACTTCCACAGGGCTTGCGTTTCAGTTCTGCTGGCCTGCGCTGCTGGCGTCGAACTCTCTTGCTCCGTGGTATTTCGTGTCTCAGTGAACACTTCCAGAGTGGGGATATGCCACTCCCTCCCCTGTGCCTCCCTGTTTCTTTATCGGACACATGAGACAGAGAAGTAGAAACCAGGGGAAGGAGGGAGAGAAGAAGGAAAGGGAGGGCCAGTCGGGAGGGAGCCCGCGATGCTGGCACGCGTCGGACGGAGCAGGGCTCTTGGGGCCGTCAACACTGGCTATCTTTCCTCTGTGCCTCCTCTCCTGGGGCCGCAGGCAAATCCTGGACACGGAGGATGAGCTGCAGGAGCTGCGGTCAGACGCGGTGCCGTCGGAGGTGCGGGACTGGCTGGCCTCCACCTTCACCCAGCAGGCCCGGGCCAAAGGCCGGCGGGCGGAAGAGAAGCCCAAGTTCCGGAGCATTGTGCATGCAGTGCAGGCCGGCATCTTCGTGGAACGGTGAGCCACGTGCACCCTCGCGCTCCCGCGGCCCCTGGGTGTCCTCCTTTCCCGGCCCCCTGCTCCCCCCCCAGCTCCACCAGCTCTGGATTATTCCACTCCCCACACCTGGAGTGTTTTCGTTCTTCTCCGCTAGGATGTTCCGGAGAACGTACACCTCCGTGGGCCCCACTCATTCCGCTGCCGTCCTTAACTGTCTCAAGGTAATTTTTTTTTTTTTTGCTTTTTGGGTCACACTCAGCGATGCTCAGGGGTTCCTCCTGGCTCTGAGCACAGGAATTACTCCTGGCGGTGCTTGGGGGACTGTATGGGATGCCGGGGATTGAACCCAGGTCGGCCTCGTGCCAGGCAAACGCCCTCCCTGCTGGACTATCGCTCAGGCCTAATCTCTGGGTTTGGGGAGAAAGGAAACGTTTAAAGGGTGGGAGAGCCCTGGGGCCTTTCAGACTCTGCTGGCACGATGATTTGTCTGCCTTCCTTTTACTCTCCGTAGGGTTCGGGGGTGCTCGCGGTAGGTGGGAATCCACCTTAGGACATGACACGTGTGAGGCACGTGTCCTGCAGCTTTGGCTTCCTCCCGGGCCTTTAAATCCTCTTTCCCGTGGGCCCCCAGACAGTGGGTGCCGGCTTCAGAGGCGAGACCCCACCTTTCTGCCTCTCCCAGACTCCGGGAAGGAAGCAGTCCACTTCCTTCCCTGGGAATCTCAGTGGCCCTTGTGAAGCCTCACGGCTGCCCTCGAGGCTGGGGGCCGCGGGGCTCCACACTGAAGGCCACCTGCCCAGTGCCCAGTCTGTTGTTGTCCACAGAACCTGGACCGCTGGTGCTTCGATGTCTTCTCCCTGAACCGGGCTTCCGAAGAGCACGCCCTGAGGACCATCGTGTTCGAGCTGCTGACTCGGCACAACCTCATCAGCCGCTTTAAGGTCGAATGATTCTCCAGGCCTGTCGCTCCGGGTCTCAGAGACCTGCCGGGGCGGCGGGGTGGGGGTGGGGGGGGCAGGCCGCTGCCCTGGACGGCTGCATCAGGAGGCTCTGCCCAGGCCCATCCTAGGATGAGCTGGTGCTCCCTGGCAGTGCTCCCGGCCTCTGGCTCCACATAGTCCTCAGGGAAAGTTCTAGGTCTGCACCCTCTAACTGTGGATTCTGTGCTTTCCCCTTCCTTCCTTTCTTTTCTGTTTTGGGGGTCACACTCCGTGGTGCTCAGGGCTTATTCCTGGTTTGGTGCTCAGGGATTACTCCAGGTGGAGGACCATGGGATGCCGAGGAGGGAACCTGTGTCGGCCTGTGCGAGGCACGCACCCTCCCTGCTGTCTTGCCTCTCAGGACCTGTTTTTGCCAGCAGTTCACCTTCCAGTGTCGGCTGCCTTTTGTGTGGCCTTTGCCCACTGGAGCCCAGACATTGTCAGCTGGGGCCCTGTGGGCTACGGTCGCCATTTTCTTCCGGGGGCAGTGAGGGCCTCCCTTCAGGCTGTTTTCTGGAGGGGACCAGCTCCTGGTCAAGCTGGGCATAGTCACGTGAGGGGAGGGTGGTGTGTGCACCGCACGGACTCTTCGCTGTGGCCCACCAGCAAGAGGATGAGGGGAGTAGGCTCCTCTCCAGGGCCTGGAGAGAGAGAGGGAGGGAGGGAGAGAGAGAGAGAGAGAGAGAGAGAGAGAGAGAGAGAGAGAGAGAGAGAGAGAGAGAGCAGTGGGTAGGGTGCTGGCTTTGCACCCGGATGATCTGGGTTGAATTCCCAGCACCGCATACAGTTCCTGAGCCCTGTGGGGAGGGATCCCCGAGCAAGCGCAGAGTCAGGGATAAGCCCTGAGTGGACCACCCGGTGTCGTGCCCCCCTCCCCCATCTTCCCCTCCAAGAATCTTCTTCAGATCCCCCTCCAGGAGGGAGTGTCTGTTAGGAGCAGCATCTCCATGGTCTTTTCTTCAGGAAAAAACTGCACTTGGAAGTGGAGCGTGAGGGGATGGAGCGATAGCACAGCGGGTAGGGCGCTTGCCTTGCTCTTGTCCAACCAGGGTTCGATTCCCAGCATCCTGTATGCTCCCCTGAGCACCGCCAGGGGTAATTCCTGAGTGCAGAGCCAGGAGGAACCCCTGTGCATAGCCCAGTGTCACCCAAAACGAAAAAAAAGAGTGGAGCGTGAGGCAGGCTAGAAGAGCCTCGGTGGGGATGTTGGTCAGTCAGGTGAGGTGGGCAGTAGACGGCCGAGCGTGGGGCATGTCGTGAGGGGCCGTGGGGGCAGAGGAGTCCAGCTGGAGGCACTGGCCCCAGCCCAGGCTTTGGAAGTTCCTGCGTGCATGCAGCCTCTCTCATACCCTCTGAGACAGTAGTGGTGTGTCAGCTTTTCCTTGACCCTTGACTTTTTGTCCAGCCACTCCCAAGAGGGTTTCTAGAACTTTCCCAATGTGCTCAGCTGGGATTCTCCTCAGGGAGCTCGTGCAGCTTCATTTTCTTCCCTCGAATCCTGCCCTCCAGGACCAGAATAGCAGATCTTCTTGGACAAATTTCCCCAGCCCGTTTCTCCTAGAGCGGCTGTCAGACGTGTCCCAGATTAAATCGTGTCCTTCGCTGGAAGGAATGTGTTTGGGAGACCCGGAGAGTGGTGGCTTGGGCTTGGGTTCAGCTGATTTGTCCGCTTCGCTCCTTGCGGGCAGAGGGAGCGGCTGATCTGATCGCTTTCCCGTCTCTCCTGCCTGAGTCCCTACTTGCTGTCGCCCTTCCTAAGCTGCACGTTCCTGTCTGGGGCACCAGCCCCTCCCCTGCGCCGCCCCTTCCTTCCTTTTAGGGGCACCATGGCAACACAGAAGCCAGGGCAGTCGTCATGGAAACAGTCCTTTAAAATTCCCTGAATTTGGGGCACAGCCCTCCAGGGGTGGGGGTGGAGGCGGTGAGGGTCTGACTGATGAATCTTCTGTCTCGCCACTAGAGTTCATATCAGCTGTGGCTACCCCGAGTCCCGAACTCTGGTTTCCTCCCAGCCCCGGAAGACCCAGGGGAAGGTGAAGACGCCAGCCCACCTTCTGGGGGGCCTGGACCCTCCAAAGGGAAGGAGACAGACACACCCAAGGGTGGATTCAGAGACAGAATTGAGAGGCGCTGGGCAAAGCTGTGTGTGTGTGTGTGTGTGTGTGTGTGTGTGTGTGTGTGTGTGTGTGGCGTTGCAGAACCAGGCGTCTGGGACCACTTCCCAGAAGAGGTGGGGATCCACCTCTGACCAGAAGACCTCTCTCTAGGTCAACTACTTACTCTTTCCCTGGCTTCTGAGCCTGTCTCCATGAAACAGGGTTGGGAGTGGGGTGGAGTGGCTTGAAGTTAGGAAGGATGGAAGCTTTATTTCCATTTCTTAAAGATCCCAGGGAAAATAATAAGGACGCCCACTCTTCACACTGACAAAGTGCCTTGTACTTATCTCATTAAATCTAAGATAGATGCCATTTGCCTTCCTCTGCACGAAGTATCAGAGGCACCGGAGAATCCGGACTTGCCCAAGGTCACATGCCAGCGGGGGCTGGAGCGGGGCCCGGGTGCCCCTGGCTGCAGAGCCGTCCTCGTGTCCCCCGGAGGAAGAGGGCTTTGCTGATCTCAGCTGGCCCATCTGTCGCTTGCGGGCCCCTCCACGAATCCGTTTCCTCCCTGCTGCAGATCCCCACTGTATTCCTGATGAGCTTCCTCGAGGCTCTGGAGACAGGCTATGGGAAGTACAAGAACCCTTACCACAACCAGATCCACGCGGCCGATGTCACCCAGACAGTGCATTGCGTCCTGCTCCGCACGGGGATGGTGGTAGGTGCCCAGGGACCTCCCTGGGTTGGGAAGTTCTGGCTGAGGCACCGAGAGCCTAGACTCTACCCCGTTTCCACTGTCCTCTCCTTAGCTCCTCTCCGTGGGCATCCCAGGGTCGTTACAGCGGCATGCTGGATTTACTCATACCAGAGACTTCCCTCGGGGGGCAGGGCTGGGGTCTTGTGGCAATGCAGCCCGTTGGGATGGAGGAGAGTCGCTGAACAGCCAGAGGTTGAGACAGGCTCTTGGCTGCATCGGCCCACGTTGGCTTGAAGAACGTAGGGGCTGGGCTTGTGTGTGAGCTCTGAGGACTTTTTAAATTTTTTGCGTTTTGGGTCACACTGGGCGATGCTCAGGGGTTATTCCTGGCTCTGCACTCAGGAATTACTCCTGGCCGTGCCCTGGTGGTGCTTGAGGGACCATATGGGATGCTGGGAATTGAATGCGGGCCAGCCGCATTTAAGGCAAATGCCCTACCTGCCACTCTGGCCCCTCTAACCGGCATCTCTTTCCCCCAGCACTGCCTGTCAGAGATTGAGGTCCTGGCCATCATCTTTGCTGCAGCCATCCACGACTATGAGCACACAGGCACCACCAACAGCTTCCACATCCAGACCAAGTGAGGGGAGGGTTGATGTCCTTGTGGGCAGCACGGTTGGGCTGGGGGAGGGAGCAGCTTCCAGACTTCCAGGGGGCTGGATCCGGAGACACTCCTCTCTGCAGGTCCGAATGTGCCATCCTGTACAACGACCGCTCTGTGCTGGAGAATCACCACATCAGCTCTGTCTTCCGAATTATGCAGGACGACGAGATGAACATTTTCATCAACCTCAAAAAGGATGAGTTTGTGTGAGCAGAAGCTGGGAGTGGCCACCCCTATGAGACCTCCCCTTCCCATACCTCCTCTCCCCGCCCCCCGCCCACCCGGGTACCCAGGTTGTGTGTGACAAAGGGATCTGATGGCATCTCTGGTTCTCTCCATTCAGTGAGCTGCGAGCACTGGTGATCGAGATGGTGTTGGCCACCGACATGTCCTGCCATTTCCAGCAGGTGAAAACCATGAAGACGGCCTTGCAGCAGCTGGAAAGGTGGCGCCCGGGCGTGTGGCTGGGGCCGGGCTAGAGGGGTGTGTGGCTTGAGCGGCAGACTGGCGTGCCACGCCTGTACCTGGATGGGGAGACTCCCCTGGTTCCAGGGGCCTGAATATGCACATAACTGAGCGTGTGGCCGTGGATTGGACTGTTCGGGGAAGCCAGGTGTCTGGGCAGTGCTTTGATTGAAGAGCCCAGGAGGGACATGGTGTTAGAGCTTCGGGCTTACTCTGGAACGTGGGGAGAACATCAGACCCTCTGAGCTCATTTTTTCCGATATGAAATGTGAGCAGGGCGCGTTCCCCCCACCCTTCCCTTCTCCTGACAGCTTGCCATCAGTTCCCACTCTCACAGAGCAATTGGGAGAGTTGTATGCTTTTTTTTAAGCACAGTACAAATGACATAATCACACCTAACGTTGCTTGTGAGTGGGTGGGAGTATATGAATGTGGGCGAGAGAGAATGGACTGTTTGTGTGCCTGTCCCGAAGGTGTGTGTTAACGTGTGGTGTGTGTGCGTGGGAGGGTGAATGGTGTCAGCGTGTTGCCGTTGAGAATAATAATAATAACAATAATTATAATAATCAAGTTGTGGGTAACATCCACTGAGCACTATTTAAACGCCAGAAACACTCCTAAATACTTATGTATTTCTGTCGTTTCGTTCTCAGAATAACTCCATGTGGCAGATTCTGTTGTTATTTCTCTTTAGAACGGAGAGAGGATGAAAGATGGAAATTCTAAGTCCCCTGCTCCTTGTCCCACAGCCAGCACGGGAGAGGTTTCGTGGGGCGTCTCGCAGCCCGGGCTGCTCCCTGTGCGTGCCGAGCGTGCCCCCGTGTGCAGGATGGGAGTGCTCGGCTGTTTGATGTTGCTGATATGATCTGAAGGGGAAGTCAGGGAAAAGCTCTGGGCTTCCCTTTCCTACAAACTCAGTCTCCTCTGCCTTGCCGTTTTCCTGGGCCAGGATTGACAAGTCCAAGGCCCTTTCTCTGCTGCTCCACGCCGCGGACATCAGCCATCCCACCAAGCAGTGGTCCGTCCACAGCCGCTGGACCAAAGCCCTCATGGAGGAATTCTTTCGCCAGGTAGCGTGGCCTCTCTGTCCACCCCCTGCCCATGGGTGGTGCTCCCCAAGTGCCCTGATCCTACTCCAGATCCTTCTGCAGCCTCTGACCTGATCCTAAGCCCCTGGACTAGCAATCCATCATTATCCTCGGCGCTAATAACAGTCACAGACTGCACACGGCTCATTTTCCATGCCACAGGAACGCCTCTCTTCCCACAATTCCCTGCCCTGTGAGCTTCACCCCCCCCCCCCCCAGTCGGGAGCTCTTCTCCAGCTCCCCCCCTCCATGCCTGCCTTTGCCCCTAGGGTGACAAGGAGGCCGAGCTGGGTCTGCCCTTCTCTCCGCTCTGCGACCGTTCCTCCACCCTGGTGGCTCAGTCCCAGATTGGTGAGTGCCCGTCCCCGCAGGAGCCTGGGAGGGGATGCCAGGCCGGGCCGGCACCCAGTTGGGTCCCTCAAAACCACCCTTTCTGCAGACACTGGGACCTGGAGTTCTGGGGTAGTAGAGGCCCAGGTGCTGTGAGTGGGGAATTTCTCTGGGGTTTAAAGGTATCGCCCTGGGGCTGGAGAGTTAGCACAGCGGGTAGGGCATTTGCCTTGCACGCGGCCGACCCAGGTTCGATTCCCAGCATCCCATATGGTCCCCTGAGCACTGCCAGGAATAACTCCTGAGTGCAGAGCCAGGAGGAACCCCTGTGCATTGCCGGGTGTGACTCAAAAAGCAAAATAATAATAATAATAATAATAAAGGCATCGCTCCAAAGCCCAGTCCCACTGGGGAGTGTTTAGGACCACGGTGGCTCTCGCGCCTGTTTTCCACACAGCCAAGGACAGGACCATGCCAGCCAAGCCCTCCGGCTGAGACACATCCCTTCTTCCCCGTGCCCCGCCCACCCCACCTCCCCGCAGGTTTCATCGACTTCATCGTGGAGCCCACGTTCTCTGTGCTCACCGACGTGGCTGAGAAGAGTGTCCAGCCCCAGACGGACGACGACTCCAAGTCGAAGAGTCAGCCCAGGTGAGGTGTGGCGGGTCCTGGGGTGAGGGTGGGGGGATTTGGGTGCCCTCAGAGGACCCACTCACAGTGAGAGCTCCCAAGCGTGTTTGGGGAGTGGGGAATGAGGCTGCTCCAAGCCCGGGTGTTCCTTGACTGCTTGTCACCCACGAGGGTGGGAGGAGGAGCCGCAGGTGTGGTCTCGACCCACGTTCTCCTGGTCTTTTCTTTGGCTCTGGCCGAATCGCCTCTTGTTGATCTTGTTTTTACTTCTTAGGAGGACCGGTGTGGAGAGGGAGGGGGTGAAGTTGGGGGAACTGGCATGGGAGGGGGCACCTAACGAAGGGAAAAGAGAAAGACAGCTCCCCCCCGGCCCTTGCCGCCCCTCCGTGCTGAGGGCTGTGGAGGTGAGCGGGAGCAGGGCTGGCACCCAGTTTGGTCCCTCAAAACCACCCTTCCCTAAAAACTCAGTCTCCTCTGCCTTGCCGTTTTCCTGGACCAGGATTGACAATCCAAGGCCCTTTTTCACCTCTGGGGTGGGGTGTGGGGGGGCTCCCTGTTTAGCTTCCAGTGGCGCCAAGCTTCTTTGGATGTGGAAGTGGGAGACCCGAACCCTGACGTGGCCAGGTTTCGCTCCACCTGGACCAAATACATTCAGGAGAACAAGCAGAAATGGAAGGAACGGGCAGCAAGTGGTGGGTGCCACAGAGGGGTCCCCTGGGGAGGGACCTGTGAGGAGGGGTTCTATGGGGAAGAGCCCTGTGGGGAGGGGATCTGTGGGGAGGGGTTCTGGGGGAGGGATTCTATGGGGATCAGTTCTGTGTGGAGGGGCTTTGTGGGGAGGGGTTTTCTAGGGTGGGGCTCTGCGGGGAGCCATTCTGCGTGGGGGGGGGTTTCTATGGGGACCGGTTTTATGTGGAAGGGCTCTGTGAGGAGGGGTTCTGTGGGGAGGGATTCTGTAAGGGAGCTGTTTCTTTGTGAGGGGCTCTGTGGGTACAGTCCTGTGTGAAGGAGTTCCTTGGGGAGCTGTTGTGTATGGAGGGGCTCTGTGGGGCAGGGTTCTGTGGGGAGGGGTTCAGGGGAGATGTTCTGTGGGGACCAGTCCTGTGTGGAGGGCGGCTGATGGAGCAGGAGCGCAGCCTTGTTCCTTGAGCCCTGAGTCAGCCCTGCTGGATCTCCCAGTGCGGAAGGAGCCGCTCAGACTCAGACACAGGAAGGCCTGACCAGCAGATTGGTCTGGACTGTCCAGAATGGGGTGTGGAAGGAGGATGGCGGTGGCCATTTTGCACACCCCGAGGGAGCCCTACTCACACTGTGCTTGGGGCGTGGTCTCGGGGACCGGGGGCTCACGAGTGGGAAGCTATCTGCTTTTGGGTGGGAGTCGAGGGCAGTGGGTCTTCTCAGAGCTGGGGTGCCCTCCTGCGTTGACCGTAGCTCTGCAGGAAGGCAGAAGAGCACCCAAGGCGACTTGGGTCCCGGGGAAAACCACCACCCCGACTTCCTTGCTGCCCTGTCTGCAGGCATCACCAACCAGATGTCCATCGACGAGCTGTCCCCCTGCGAGGAGGAGGCGCTGCCCTCCCCAGCCGAAGATGAGCACAACCAGAATGGGAATCTGGACTAGTGGGGGCCGGCCCAGGTGAGGGGTGCCTGGGGTCTGCGGGGGGAGCAGGGAGGCGGCCCCTTCCAGGCAGCCCTGGGCTCTGGTGTGTGTGTGTGTGTGTGTGTGTGTGTGTGTGTGTGTGTGTGTGTGTGTAGGGGGAGAGAGGGCTCCTTCCCTCTTTCCAGGCAGGAAGATGGAGGCAGGAACAGAGCTGAGCAGGGAGTGAGTGGGAAGTGGGGAATTCCTCCCACTGCTCCTGGCCCAGATTCTGCAGGGACAAAGGAGGTAGTTCCTGGGGCCGGATTCCTAGTACAGCGGGAAGGACATTTGCTTTGCGCGCGACCAACCCGGGTTCGATCCCGGCGTCCCATACGCCCTCACCCCAGCACCGCCGGGAGTGACTCATGAACGGAGATTCAGGAGTGACCCCTGAGCATGTCCAGGTGTGTCCCCGGCCCCCCAAACCAGAAAGGAGCCTGGGAGCTGGAACCCTCCGTGCCAGCTGGGCCAAGGAACCCCCCTGCTCTGCTGAGGCCGCTGGCCCTGGCTTGGCTGGCTCTGCTCAGCCCCTTGCCGGGCGCGCCCCCTGCAGGGCATTCTTGGAGTTGCGCGTTCTGAGTGGGGATGAAATCTGGAAGGAGCCCGACGCCCCCCAACCTCCCTCTTCCCCCAGGTCCTCACCGAGTGCAGAGTGTCCGATGTCATCAGCACCACCCATTGGGACCGGCTCCCCCATCTGCTCCAAGGGAGCACGGAGCTCACAGAACCGACCACCCCCGGAGAGGTCGACCGCCAGAGACTGGGGTGCACTTCAACCTCCCGGCAGCAAGACTGGGGTGCTCCAGGCGTCCCACGGTCACTGTGCCCATCCCCCTGCCTCCGGATGCCCCCCCCCGCGGCCAGAGGGCTGGCGGAGGGGGCCTCCTGAAGGCTTCCCAGGGCCTGGGGCAAGGGTCCGAGCTGCCAGCCCCCAGGCCCTCCCACCCTTTTTGCCTCCAAGTTTCTAAGCAATACATTTTGGGGGTTCCCTCGGCCCCCACCCAGATCCTAGCTGGCAGATCTGGGCCCTCCTTTCCCTCCCCCGGGAGGGGCTGGAATAGACTCAGAAGTGGGGTGAGGGGTGTGTGCGGGGATTTCTGAGCTCTCTGAGTGGGGAGGGCAGAGGGTGCCTTCAGGGCCTGAGACCTGAGGGGCGGCCTCTTCACCCCACACCCGCATTGCTTTGGTCCCGTCTCTGCCCACCCCTGGCCGCCTTCCTTCTCTCCTGTTCTGAAATGGCACGGGGGCGGGGGAGCCTGTGGGAGCAGAGCCCGGGGATTCCTTTCCTGGGGTCCCCAGGTTCTGGGTTCCGAGTCCCTTTTGCCTCCCCCCTCCCCCGCACCCCGGGGCGGGAGGTCCCATCCGACCAATGTCTGTAAAGTGCTTGGAGAAGCTTCCCTCGCCTGCCTGAGGGCGCCTCTTGGGGGTGCAGGCGGGAGGGCCGCTGGGTGTGTGAGGGGGGACTGGGTCCGGTGATCCTGTGTGGCTGATGGAGGCGATCTTCCCCCTTCCTCTCCCAGCACGTGGGGTGGGGACCCGCAGGGTGCTGCCTGTGCCCTCTGGGGTGGCCCCTCCCCACTCCTCCCATGTAAATACCAACCATGCATTGTACAGTGGGCCCTGGTGGTGTGACTCCATATTCGTGGTCTCTGAGACCTGCCTCCTGACCCAGCACAGCTCGGGGCAGAGATGCATGTGATGCCCCCACCCCCTCCCTTGGTCTCCCAGAACCCTACTATAGCCAGAGATCAATAAAGAAGGAGACCGGGCTGGGCTGTGTCTGCTGTTGGTGGGCGCCAGCTCCCAGGATCCACGAGAATCTGCATGCACGTCTGCGGTGTGTCCCTGGGGGCACACCTGGGGTCTGCTGAGGCCAAAAGCCGAGGGCACGCAGAGGAGCAGCAGCGTGGAACCTTGTCCTTCTGGGGTTCTTGCGTCTCCATCACGTGCCTTTCCAGTAAGGGAGGTGGGGAAGTACCAAGCCGGCCCTCCCTTCTCTCTCCTCCTAGCCACCTCATCTCATGGCCAGATCAAAAGCAGCGGGCAAAGGAAGTGGGTCTGTCCGCTCTGCGGTGGAGGACGCCGCTTCTTCCATCCTCAGCTTCCGTTTTCAACCTTGGCCCCTCTGGGGCAAGACTCCAGTTCCTAGCAAGGCCATTTCTTAGCTCCTGTGTTTACAGTGTGTGTGTGTGTGTGTGTGTGTGTGTGTGTGTGTGTGCGCGTGTGTGCGTGTGTGTAAACTCATGGTTTGGAATAAGGGAGGTGCACCTCCAAATTGCAGGCAGGGGCGCCGAGGCTGGGAAAGCAGGTCTGGAAATACCCCCAGAGAAGCCCCTTCTCCATCCCTCAGTCTCCAGGGCAGAGGGCCAGGGTGCCGTTCCCCCTTTGTCCAGAAGAGGGCACCCGCAGCACAGCCACAGCGAGACAGGCTCTAGGGGAGGCGTCTTGAGGCTGCTGGGGGCCAACCTTTTTCAGAATAAAAGAGAACCTGGTCACCATTCCTACTTCGTACCATGGGAATGAGCTCTCCCGCCTGTCTGCTGTTCCCCCTCCTCCCACATCTTCCTTTAGGGCTTTGGGGGCAGTAGCACTGAAGCACTGGCCTCCCCTTGTTCATGGACTTGCTCGAGCGGGCACCAGTAACGTCTCCATCGTGAGACTTGTTGTGACTGTGTTTGGCATCTCGAACACGCCACGGGGAGCTCGCCAGGCTCTGCCCTGCGGGCGGGATACTCTTGGTAGCTTGCCGGGCTCTCGGAGAGGGACGGAGGAACCGAACCCGGGTCAGCCGCGTGCAAGGCCAACACCCTACCCGCTGTGCTGTTGCTCCAGCCTTGGGGGCAAGTGAGGGCAGGCGATTGGGGATGGCCTCTCCTGCCCGCCTCCCTGTTGGCTTCCTCCTTTCCGGGAGGGCAGCGGGCTGCAGAGAGGGTGAGGAAGTTGGGACGAATCAAGATGAGTGGGGAAAGAAGGACCATGCCAAATACCTAACACCAAATTTATCACTTTTTAAAAACAAGATTTTTCCCCAAAAAGTGAAGGAATAAGAAACAGATCCAGTGTCCCTGCACTCCCAACAGCAGTCTTGGTTTCAGCGTTCCTCTTTTTCCTCAGACCTGTCGTGGGGGAAGGGAGCAGAAAGAGAGGGTGAGTGGGAGGTCAGAGGTCATGCCGTCTCTGCCTCCCGGGGGCCTCGCTCCTCCGCGTGCTGGGCTGGCCTCTAACTCCTGAGGCCCACCACCGTCCTCGCCTCTTGCCCGCGGACACCAGGTCAGACCTCAGGCACGAGCTTATCTCACAGACGCCTCCCCAGGCCCGAGAGGTGAGGTTCTCCCTTTGGGTTCCAAGTGCTCTCTATCAGACAGTCCACAGCCTTGGGGGAGTCGGGGAGCCGGGGTCCTAGTACAGCTGAACCCCCACCCCTCCTGCTGCGGCTTAATCCCAGTTCGCCTCATTCCCTGCCCAAGGAGACGCATATCCTCCAACCTTAGAAAATCGCTTTGCTGCAACTGAGGCTGGGCCAGACCCTTTCTTCGAAGCCAAGTCTTAGCTTGTGCCCCGTCCACGCTGCCCGCTCTCCCGTGGACGGGGAGCCCAGTCTGGCTCTTACCGAGTCGGCTCCCTGGGAATCCAACGGTGGGGTTTGGGCTGAGGGTTCCTCATCGCCCTGCTCCTGAGTTTTAGGGATGGATTCTGCAGGCTCTACAGAGGAAAGAGGGTGTTTCAGGAGGGGCAGGATTCAGAAGGGCTGGAGAGAGGGTGTGTACCCCAAACCAGAATATTCCCAGGACTCCAAAGCGGAGCCCAGGACTGACTTGGGAGCAACTGGACAAGACCTACTGGATTTTCTGGTCCCAGTTTCTCCTTCTCCTCCTTGCTACACTGGCTGTGCTCGGGGCTTAATTAATCCTGGCTCTAGCTCAGGGATCACCAGTGGCAGGACTTGGAGGACCATACAGGGCCCTGGGGGTCGAGCACTGGTCAGTAGCATGTAAGGGAAGCATTTATCTTCTGTACTATCTCTCTGGCCCTCTGCCACCAGAAACTCAAAAAAAAAAAATCCCCTTCAAAGAATTTAAGAAGATGTGTACGAGCTTCACGGGTGGCTAACCCTGACCTGAAATGAGTCTTTTTACGGACTATTTCACTTAGCGGAACTTTATTTCTTTGCGGATGTATCTGATTTCAGGGTGTTCTTCTACGGTGGGCGGGGATGTCTTAGGTAAGACATCAAGATGTGCGTGGTGCCACCTTTATCAAATTGGAAGAATTCTCAAGTCTGCATTGCAGCTGGGAGGCACCGCAGACGTGCCGAACCGACCGCCAGCAGCTTCCCGCATGCTTTGTGTGTGTGTGTCTCAGCTGCTGGGCTAAGAAATCCTCATTTAGTTTTCGCAAACAAGCCAATTACACAGGGGCCAGCATTTTAGAGTCTGGCCAAAGGCTGGATTCTAGCCTGAGCGAGCGGGATGGTGGGCAGCCCCCTGAACGCCACCAGGGGGCGCTCTGAAGCCCAAGGTGGGTGGGGGGTTTCATTCAGGAAAGGAAGCAGGAGGAAGCAGATTTGGGCCATCCAGGCACCCCGACACCTCTGGAGGGTTTCCTGGCTTCCAGCTGCCACCACTGGCTTCCTGCTCCGGCTAGGGCGATGCTCTCCGGGGCTCCGTGCCCCCCAGCCTGACCGTACCGTGCGCTTTCCTTGACTCCGTGTCTGTGATCCCAGGTGGGCAGGACCCTTGGGTCCCCGTGCTCCCAGCAGCTCCCTCCGGCTCCTCCCCTTGCTGCTGTTGCCCCAGGTGATGTTCAACCATCATCTGCAGCTCTGGGGACACAGAGGAAGCGAGGGAACATTCGACACGACTGCCCCGAGTCTCCTCTGGGGACCCTCGCCCTGACCCCCTGGGCATGTGCTCTGACATTCTGGACCCAGGAAAATCAGACAGGGGGAACCTTTTCCCAGGCAGCGAGGGGTGTGGGGGGACTCCAGCTCCAGGAGAAAGCTACTTCCTCTGCAGAGAAGGGCGGGGAAAAGCGCCTTTCGGGACAAAAGATCAGGGCCAGGGAGGTAGCTCGGAGTCAGCGCCCTGGCCGGCCCGGCGTGAGGCCCTGGGTTTGATTCCTGGCACTGGAAAACAACTACAAAGAGCCTCTAACTCAGAGTTACAAAGTCTGGTATGGGGGGTGGGAGGAAAAAACCCTCAATTGACATTCAAGAAATATCAGGATGCCATGGGTGGGCCTGCCCTGTGCGGATGAATTGACACATTTTCTTCTACTGAACTGCCCTGCAGGGTGGAGTCTTCAGGCCTCCGGAGGCTAAACAGGTTCTTCACCCTCACTGGTCGTCTGGGGACACGGCTGGCAATGGTCCAGGTCCGGGACCGGCTATGAAGAAGGCCGACTGAGTGCGGGGCCTTCCCTGGCTTTGCTCCTGGGCCGCAGGGACTGTGAGCCAGCCTCAGGCTGGGAGGGGAAGGAAGGGACGGGAGGGTCTTCCAAACCTTTCATCGTGGGTGTGGTCCTCGTCACCTTCTTCCGTTGCCGTGGAGACATGGCCAAAGTGGACTGTGAAGGACACAGAGTGTGGGGTGGGGGTGGGGGTCAGCCCTTCCTGCCTTCCTCTTCGGCCTAGCCAGGCTTTGGGGCTGGAGACTGGGTTGGACGTGGGCCTCAGACAGTGGGGGAGGAAAGTGACGCCCTCCTCACCCCCTCCTGCCGTCGCTGAGCAAGGAGAGTTGGCGCGTGTACACACGTGCGTATTGGGAGGGGGGCGGTGTGCAGGAAAGAGGGAATCAAAAGTAGTGAAGGGAGCCTGGGGTGCCGGTGTGGAGTCTCTTTTGTGAGTCTGGGTTGAGCGTTTGTTTTGTTTTGTGTCCTTGGCTCGTACTCAGGACTGACTCCTGGCTCAGGATCATCCCTGGTGGGGCTGGGGGGACCATCTGGGGCGCCAGGAATGGAAAGCAGGTCGGCCACGTGCCAGGCATGTGCCCTAGCTGCTGCACTGTCACCCCGGGCCTGAGGCTGAGAGCTTGATCCCCGACGCCACCCTAACAGCTCGGCACCCAGGCAGCTCTGCTCTGCAGTTGGGGTTCCCCTGGGGCCGCAGCAGAGTGAAGTGACCGCCGGGCACCTCGACTAAGGAGAGGCAGGACTCCAGCAAACACCGCAAGTAAAGGGGCGACCCCTGGCGAGCACCAGGGCTGGGTGTGCAAGCCTCAGCCAGGCGTGGGACCCTCCGTCCCAAGACACAGCAGCGGGAGGAATGGAAGACAAAAAGGTCCTGTAGGGGCGGGAGCGATCGCACAGCGGGAAAGGACGTTTGCCTCGCACGCGGCCAACCTGGGTTTGAGTCCCAGCATCCCATAGGGTCCCCCGAGCCTGGCCAGGAGTCATTCCTGAGTGCAGAGCCAGGAGGAACCCCTGTGCATCGCCGGGTGTGACCAAAAAAGAAAAAAAAAACTTTCAAAGACGAACGTCCCGTTTCTCAATCAAAGCCTTCCCCAGTTTTCTCGGGGCTCTGCGGCTTTCATCCTACGAGGAATTCTTCCCAACCACTTTTGGGGGCGCGTTACACTGCCAGTGGCTCTTTTGTGACTGGGGGCACCTGGGAGACCAGGGCATTTGCCTCGCACGCGGCCGACCCGGGTTTGAGTCCCAGCATCCCATAGGGTCCCCCGAGCACCTCCAGGAGTCATTCCTGAGTGCAGAGCCAGGAGGAACACCTGTGCATCGCTGGGTGTGACCCAAAAAGAAAAAAAAACTTTCAAAGATGAACATCCCGTTTCTCAATCAAAGCCTTCCCCAGTTTTCTCGGGGCTCTGCGGCTTTCATCCTACGAGGAATTCTTCCCAACCACTTTTGGGGGCGCGTTACACTGCCAGTGGCTCTTTTGTGACTGGGGGCACCTGGGAGACCAGGGCATTTGCCTCGCACGCGGCCGACCCGGGTTTGAGTTCCAGCATCCCATAGGGCCCCCCGAGCATGGCCAGGAGTCATTCCTGAGTGCAGAGCCAGGAGGAACCCCTGTGCATCGCCGGGTGTGACCCAAAAAGCAAAAAAAAAAAAAAGGTCCTGTAGATCTGTAGATGGGGTGGGGGGGTCTGAGGAGGGACCCTCGGAGTCTTAGGCTCTCTGCGCAGATGGGAGGGGCGCGCTCACCTTGAGAAGTGGGTTGGGGATCCTGTCTTCATCGATCTCTGGGGGAGGAACCAGGAGAGGGAGAAAGTGACAAAAGAGCGAGTAGTGCCACACCACTGACCTCACAAGAGGGGGGGTCCCTGCCAGCACCTCCCTCCTGATGCCCTGGGGCTGGGGGCTGCTGCCCACCACAGCTCCTGCTCTGCTCCCCTGGCCCCGACTCCCCTCCCCCCTGGTCCGCTGGCTTGGGGGATGCCGGGGTTCCTGATGGCGGCAGCGCGCTGGTCCTTTTGCTCGACTCTTCCCTGAAGCATCCACCTGCTCCGAGTGCTTCCAGCCCGGCCCCGCCCACTTTGGAATGGGGGGAGCTGAGTAGACCCCTGGAGTGCAAGGGCGGGCAGGCAGAGACGCCTTTGGGCGCCCTGGCCTCCTGGACTCCAGGTTGGCTTATTTGCCAGCCCCCGTCCATGCTCTGGTCAACACGCTGATAAGCCCGGGGACCTTGTTCGGTCCCCAGACGGTAAGGGGGACGCGGGTGACCCAAATCCCAGCTGCTCCCGAGCTGTTTCTAGCCCCCCTTCCCTCCGGGGACTGTGAGGAGGCTGATGGAGGCGGGCCCTCCCCCTCACAGCTGTCACTGCCTCTGGGGGTGGGGGCTGCCGGCAGTTGCTGGAGAAACCTGGAAGGCGGTTGCCGCAGCAACCGGCACTGGCTTGACCACCTCACTTCCTGGGCGGCCAGAACCAGGTGGTCGCTGCCCTCGACAGCCCTGCCCTGCCAGCCTTCCCTGCACATCTGGCCGCCAGTTTCCTGCCCGGCCAGCTGGCACCCTCCTCCTCCCCCTGGGCTCCAGATGGCCCCATTCCCGTCAGCACCCCTCCTGGGGTTACCTGGGGATGACTGGTCACTGGTCAGCACGAGGGTGGCAGGGGTGGGGCGGCGTCTCCGAATCTGGGGAGAGATCACGTGACGGGGGGCATCGGTTCCCCTCCCAACACCACCCAGGGCGGCTAAGTGGGCCCACGGCCACATGCCACCTGCCTGGGAACTTGCTGTCTCGGGGAGCTGATCCCTCTCCCCTGGGGATCCAAAGACCCCCCCCCCCCCCCGCCCCCGCTCCCCTTCCCCCAGCCCTTTCTGCCTGTGCCTCTCCCCGGGGCCTGGGCGCGGCTTTCCATCCCAGCAGCTAAATGCATCGATTTCTGGTCCATGGCCTTCCGTCCATCCTGGATCAATGGTCAGAAATAACCTGAGAGGGCTCCAAGCCTGCCCCTCTGTCTCCTGGCTGACCCCCTCCGTGGGCATTAACCGTCTGTGGGCCAACCCTTGCAGAGACTGCCCCTCTCTGTCTAGACAGAGGTGGGGATGTGTAGGGTCCAGGCAGGTGACCCTCAGTCCTTAATCTCTCTCCTGCCCCTGACACACTGCCTTGGGCGGGGAGTTAGAGTCCCGGACATCCCCGTCATGATAAATAGACCATGATGAAGAGCCCTCGCCGGACACGCGGCAAAATCTGAAGCTGAAAAATTGTATCCTGGATTCTGGGTCCCTGCGAAAGTAAGTAACATTAAGCTGATTGGCTGCTGGCCCCAGAATCCCTGCCCACTGCTATTCTTTTGTCTTGCTGCCAGTAAAGTTGGTTGCTGTTGAAGTCGGTCCAAGGACTCTCGGGACACGCGGTTTTCCCTTTCTCCAGAGGATTTTTAGAAGCTTGAAGTGAGGGCAATGGTAGGGTTGGAGTCCCTTCAACCCTCCAGGGCAGTCGTGGGGAGGGAAAGCTAATGGAGCCAGGAAAAGGGCTAAAATTATCCAGGACAGAGAGGGTAGGGTGAAGCCACCGAATGATCAACTTGGCATCTCTGCATGTCCGTCATTCGTGTCATTCCCGCGGGGGACAAGTGGCAAGATGCAGGCCCTTCTCCCCATCCGGAAAGCGGGTACCAGCAGACAGCAAGAGAGGCAATGTCAGCTCTGGCTCTGCCCAAGGAAGAAAGGGGGTGCGCAGGAGGGGGTGTGGGGTAGGGTACTGCCTTCCCAAGGTCATCTGGGGGTGGGGGGCTGGAGCGCAGGCTTCTCACGCCGGAGGCCCAGGTTCTAGTCTCCACACTCCACGCAGACCGTCCCCAAGCACCTCCCGAGTGACTCCTGAGCACTGAGCCTGGAATCGGTTCCTGAGCACAGCCCGTGTGGCCCAAAGACCACATCACCCCTTATCAAAAAAGAAGAAAAAGAATCCAGGGACATCTGGTTTGGGTGACATTTCAAGGTCCCTGGCAGTACCAGTGCTGTGTGTGTGTGTGTGTGTGTGTGTGTGTGTGTGTGTGTGGTTGTGCGCACGTGCGTGCACATGTGCATACAGAGACACACACGGGCCACAGGAAAAGCAGGTCTTGAGTCAGTCCCGGACTGTTCGTGATACCCACATGCCAGGGGCCAGGGGCAGGGACATGTGCTTCATAAAGGTGGGGGAGTGGACCAGAGCCATAGTACAGTGGACAGAGCCCTTGCCTGCATGCTGTCCACCGGGCTTAGCTCCCCAGGACCGCATCTGCTTCCTGGAGCGCACCGGGAGTGACCCCTGAGCACAGAGCCCAGAGTAAGCCCTGAGCACGGCTGCTGCGGAGTGCCCCTGGGGAGTGCCTCCCCTCAAAGCGGGATGTGTGAGGGGCACTGTTTTCCTAGGGTGGGTTTCCTGTTTCTTTCCCGCCTTGGGGATGCAGGTGTAGGAGAGTTAGACCTGGGGTGGGCTGGGTGCAGTGGAAACTGGGCGCCTGAGGGTGATGGACAGCACCTGGGTGGTAGCAGAGCCCTTTCCCTGCCTCAGACAGGACGTCCAGGCCCGGGCCCCTGGGACTTGCGGGGTGCTCAGTGAGGGACGCAATCAGACTTTCTGGCACCGCGACTGCTAGGAAGCTTCTCTCCTTTCTCTTAGACCCAGCGCTCAAGGGCACCTGGTGCCTCTGGGCTGATTTATTCCCAAACCAGTCACCCAGCGGGACTGGTCAGCGTGGAAGCTCCTCTCTCCACTGCCTCCCAGGCCCCATACCAAAAAGGCTCCTAGCGACTTGTTCGGCCCCATGGCGGTGGGGTCAGGAGCTCTTGCTCCCCGAGCACTGCAGAGAGTCGAGGCGACCCCGAATAGCACTTTTAGGTGCAGCAGAAACCCAGATTTCTGAAGCCTGGAGAGAAGCTGGCAGGAGTCGGAGCTCTCCCTCCCACCCTGCTCCTGAGTGCTCCTCCCCTGCCTCCCAGACCCCTCCGCCAGCTGCCCCCCCCACCCCTTCCCCAGCACACACCACCACCTGGGTCCTCTAACGTCAAACAGAGGCAGGTGTCAGCTGCTGGGGCTGTGGGGCCAGTTCTGCCCTGAGACCTCAGCCCTCGCCCGCTCGACTGGACGCTTCGCTTTTGCTTTCCAGGTGCCTAGAGCCGGTCTCCCGACCCCGGGGTACCACCGCGCGCGCCCTCCATCCTCGCGGGGGCGAGGTCTCACTGTAATCTCTCCTGCTGTCCAAGGGCGTCTCTCCCTCCCAGTCCAGGTGGGGCTGGAATGCAGGTACCCAACCCCGGGGCGAGAGAGTGTGAGACCCCCGCGTGCCCCTCCCGGCCAGGCTCCATCCCTGGAGCCCAAAGGCGAGAACGCGCTTCTCAGTCCATCCCAAGAGGTCACAAAGTTTCCCGGGTGGGGGCGGGGGGCGGGGGGTGGGAAGAGGCCCGGGCTGGTGACGGGGAGCGGGTCATCTGGAGGGAAGGGGAGTGCCGCACCGGTGGGCAGAGAGAGCACAGGGGGGGATGGAGCACTGAGCAAGCGAGCAAAGACTTGGCCGCCGCGGCGGGAGTAGGGAGCGCACACGCCCGGCGCCGCACACTCGCTCACACTCCGCCGCCCCTGCCAGGCTGCTCGGGGCTAAAAATAGGCCAGGCCAGGAGCTGGGCCAGGGCCCCGACTCCCACCCCCCGAGCCGCGGCCAGCGCAGCCTCGCTCGCCCGAGACCCCGCCGCGGAGCCCCGCGCCGGGGCATCCTGGGGCCGCCGCCCCACCCCACGGCCGCTCCCCGCGCGGAGGGCAGAGTTGGGCCGAGCCCCACGTGTCCCGATCGCGGCCCGCGGGCTGCCCACCCGCCCCGACCCCCCGACCCCACGACCCCGGCCCTTCCCCGGCGGGGTCGGGTCCGGCCAGGGCGCCCCGGAGCCGCACAGGGAGCGCCCCCGCTGGGAGGAGAGGGCCGGGGAGGGCGGGTCCTCTCGCTCCAACTCCGACGGCGCCGGGGCCGGGCAGCCCCTCTCCGCACACCCCTGCGGCGCCCGGTTCGGACCCCGCGGGGGGCTGATCGGGTGCGGGGCGGGGGCGCGCGGCGGGGAGGAAGGGTCGTGTCCCCGGGGGCTGGGAGGCAGAGCGGGACCCGGGCGGGCACCGGCGCGCGGCGGAGGGGGGTCCCCGAGGGCGCCTTAGCGGAGGGGGAGGGGAGGGAGGGGGGAGGGTCCCCGGCCCCCGGCCCCCGGCGCATCCCCGGCTCCCAGGAGGCGGGCGGCGCGGGGCGCGGGGCTCCGGGGTCCCCGCGGGGCGCGTCCCCGGCCGCCCCGCCCCGCTCCGCACCTGCTCGGCCGCCTCGGGGTCCAGGTGCGGCTCCAGCAGCGGGACCGTGAACTGGATCTTGCGCGGGCTGTGGTCCGGCTCCATGGTCCGGGCGGCGGGCCCCGCGCTGCGGCGGCGGGAGTCGGGCCGGGGCGCGCGCGCTCCTCTCGCTGCGCTCGGGCGCCGGCCCAGCCCGGCGCGCCCCGCTCCCCGCTCGCGGCCCCGGGGACTCTGCGGCCGCCGATTGGCTCCCGCCCGCCCCTCCCGGCCCCCTCCCCTCCCCGGAGCCGAACCTTAACCCCGTCGCTGCCGCGCCGCGGGCTGCCGGGGTCCCCGCCCCTCCGGGCGTGGCCGGGCCCGGGGGTGCGGGCATCACCTGGGCGGGGACCCGGGGATCCGCGTCCCGCACCGGGGTGGGGTGGGGGTGGGGAGGGCTCCCGAGAACTTCTCCGAGCCGGGGTGCGCGCGCGCGTGTGCGGGGGTGTGGGTGTGGGTCTGGGGGCTGGGGAGGCGGAGGGGCGCTGCGGTGCGGAGGCCGCACGGGGACACCGAGGGGCTCCTCCGGGAGACGCGCGGACGCAGAGGCGGGATGCGGGCGCGGTGCGGGGAGGGACTTCCCCGGCGAGGTCTAGGGCGGGGGTGAAAACTTGGGCGGAAAGTGTGGGCGCCGCGTCCCTGCCGCAGCCAGTGGGGAGCTGGACCCAGGCCGGGTGCGTGCAGAGGCCAGAGGGTGCTGAGGAGAGTGGGTGGAGGGCTCCGGGAGACGGGACCATCTGGGGCTCGGCAGCGGGAGCAAGGGGGGCGGGGAGCCAGTGATGCCGGGAAAGAGCTTTCTCGGTCTGTCTGCTGAATTATGGGGATCAGCAGGTGACAGGCTGCCAGGGATGGGGGTGGGGGGCTTGGTGGGGGGTGGCGATGCAAACTCCCCGGGTGGGGTTGCAGATGGGATTTGGTGGCCAGTTCGTCTCTCTCTGCTGAACAATGGGAAGGATGTGCGCTGCTCGCTCGCTCGGGTGGGATGGAGGTTGTTGGGGCCAAGAACTTAACCATTTGCTGTAGGATTCAGAGATCAGTGCCAGTGCTGATAGGAGGGGGCCAGGATGTTCCTCGGGGCTGCTGGGCCCCCGGCAGAGGCTGAGGAAGGAGACTGAGGTGCTGGCGAGGAACAGGACCCAATGTGGGGTGATCTTGTGGAGGACGAGAAAGGAGGTAGGAGCAGAGGGCTCTGGGGGTTCTCAGGGAGGGCTCAGGACCAGGGATCCGCTTCTCGGCCCTAAATGGAGCCCTGGCGTGTTCCATGCAGGCTTAGGTCTCCTCCTGTCCCCGAGAGGCTGTTTCAACTCTCATGTCCTCTTCCTCCTGGTAGTCGTACCTGGCCTGGATTTCACACGCTCGTCCCCTCTCCCCAACACATGTGCTGTGTCTCTCTACACACACCAGGCCCAGCTCAGTTATTTTCAGGCCGGCTGAAGGTGCCACTCTGCTGACCTCTGTCCCTGTGTGCTAACTGACCCCTGTTCTACTGTCTCATGGACGGCAGGCTCAGGCGTGACTGGCCCTAGGCCACAACTCCATGGCCAGGCATCTTTCTGCTCTCACATGTGGCAGGGCCAGCCTGGAAGCTGGTTCCTTGGGCTCCCGAACCCTCCTCCCCCACCTCCAGTGCACCCCTTCCCCAGGTGGCAGTGAAGGGAGGGGATGTGGAGCCCTCAGAGCCAGAGGATGCGGGTTGGGGGTCTCTGCTCACCTCACCTCCTAAGCACACAGACCTAGAGCAGGGTCCCAAGTGTCCTTTGAAGAGGTGACTTGTGGGTCTGGAGCAAGAGGACAGCAGATTGGGCATTTGCCTTGCATGCAGCCAACCTGGGGTTCGATCCCCAGCACCCCCTATCGTTCTCTGCCAGGAGAATCTCCTGAGCGCAGAGCCAGGAGGAACCCCTGAGCATCACAGGGTGTGGCCCACAAACAAACAAACAAACAAACAAACAAACAAACAAACAAACAGGCGACCTTTCTTTCCCTTCCCACTTCCCACTCGAGGAACTTCCCGCGTGAAGCCAAGACATCCGCACACTCACGCCTACAGCCTCAGACTCCCCTGCCCTCCGACCGCGTTTCAACTTCCTCCTTTGCGAATGGCAGAGTTGTCCCAAACTCACTGGTCCAGTGGAAGAAGCCTGGCACCACCAAGGCCACAGCTCTTGTCATCTCCATCCGGCATGCCGAGGGAAGGAGACCCTCTTCCCGCACCCCAGTCGCCCGCCCACAAACCCCTCTCCCATCTTGTCTCTGCCTCGTTCTGTTCTGTCCGTCCCAGAAGCCCCCGCCCCGTCTAGTGTGGCTTTCTCAGGCCAGAAAGCTAGGGGACTCGGCTGAGAGCTCCCAGGTAAGCTCTGAGCTCCTCCACTTGGCAGCGAGGCCTGTGGAAGGTCCTGGAAGCTGCTGGAATGGCGCAGAGGAAGGGAGTGCGGGGGTGGGGGAAGGGGAGATCATCAGGCTGTGCTGATGCAGCAGGGGGTGTGCAGGGTCAGGGGCCCTTGGTACTGAGGTCTCCTGGTGGGCCAGAGTGGGGGTCCTGCTGCTAAGGCGTGGACGTCCTTTTGCCCTTCATCACGCCCTGAGCTGGCTGAGTGTCTTGGGCTTGTGGGTGGAAGGAGACGTGGGCTGCTCACACAGAGGGCTGTGGGAGTTGGGAGGGCCCGCTGCCTGCTCCAGAGACTCCTTCGGTGGGATGAGTAAGAGCAGGCGCCTGCCCTGGGCCTCGCCCCTTCCCCGCTAGCAAGCGGTGCGCGCCCTGCATTTCCAGCTCCATGAAATATTGAAGGTTCCAGAAGGAGCCGCGATGCTGCTGCTGCTAACGGCGTGCTCCGCTTCTCAGAGCTGGCCTGGGGTTCCGCGGGGCGACCCTGTGTTCACAGGCTCCCTGCTGTCATTTCTCTCTCCACCTCACTTGGGACTACTTTCTCAGGCATGAATTCATGCTCCCTCAATGAGCTCCGAGGAGGGAGCTGTGATGATCTTGAGTTTGCTTTTCAAGGGCAGAGTCTTGCAGAGAGGATACTGGGTTCATCCTTCCCCTGACTATCAGCTCTGTAGAACAAGCTGGGGCAATCACTCCCCTGATCCCTGCCCCTCACCCCCGCCCCCCACTCAGATCTCAGTGTCTTCATTCATGAAAAGAGGATGTGATGTGCAAAGGAACTGTGGCCGAGATGATGGTACAGGTTCTGTCCAGTTCTGCTCTGTTGGAAGCCTCATCCCTGGACCTGGAAGCTGGAGGCTTCCTCTTTGCATTTCTCCCAGTGTGCGGTGCGGCAGGGGCCGCTGGTGGCTACATCCAGCTCCGGTGCTTTGGGGGGCCAGAGAGGTAGTACAGTGGGTAAGGCACTTGCCTTGCATGCGAAGGTGGGTCCCATCCCCGTTATCCTGTTCTGTTTCCTGAGCACTGCCACGAGTGATTCCTGAGTGCAGAGCCACGAATAAGCCCCGAGCACCACCGGGCTTGGACCCCAAAGCCAAAGCCACCCAAACCAAATCAAAGCATGCACACTCTCCTGACACGCACAGTTCCAGGGAGGCGAGGCTGGAGACCGAGTATCTACACCTAAAGGAGCAACGACCACATCCAAGTGGTCCCCCAGGAAGCCTTATGCTCATACGGATTCGTGGCAGCTTCTCAGACATTTCTGGAGTCTCTTCTGGAATCATCTCAGAGCTGGTGGCATCCACCCTGCGAAGCCCCACAGGGGAGCGAATCTCTGTCTTTCAGGAGGACTTGGCTCCTCTAGACATGACGGAGGGGCTGAAGGACCAAACCTTGCACGTTAGGTGGGCGGCCAGTTGGAGAGCCAAATCTGATCTGGAACAGAGGCTTGGGGATCCTGTAGCGAGGCTGTGTGTCCCCTGGGCCACCACCAAAGTCCACATGGCAGCCCGGTCCTGAAGGAAAGTTTCTGGAACTTCTTGGTTGCACCAGGAGTGTGTTCGGAGTTGTGCGACCGCCCAGGGCAGGCCCAGCCCTCCAGCTATCAGAGTCCTTGTTAGCCGGTGAAAAGCCCGTCATCACAATTCTTCCCTACTTCTCTGTGCATCTCCCCTGCCCCGGGCAGTCTTGGGAAGTCAAACTGAGGCACTGCTCATTTCCTGCACTGAAAGATTGGGCAGTCCATGAGTCTGGAGAGACTCCAGCTGATAGGGCACTTGCCTTGCACTTGGCAGACCCAGGTTCAATCCCCGGCGTCCCATACGCTCTCCTGAGTACTGCCAGGAGTAATTCCTGTGTGCAGCGCCAGGAGTAAGCCTTGAGCATCGTTGGCTGTGATCCAAAAAATCCCTTGTCGTCCCGTTGTTCATTGATTTGCTCGCGCGGACGCCAGTAACGTCTCCATTCATCCCTGTCGCGTGCTAGCGTAGCCCAGTGGCATACTGGGGACTCTTTCAGGGTCAGGGGAATGAGACCCGTTATTGTTAGTTTTTGGCATATCGAATACGTCACGGGTAGCTTGCCTGGCTCTGCCGTGAGGGTGAGATATTCTAGGTAGCTTGCTGGGTTCTCCGAGAGGGAGGGGGAAAAAAAGCCAGAAACAAAACAACAATAAACAAGATCAGCCAATCCTAACTCCCCAAGCTGGAGAGTGGAAACAGAAGCCAAAAGAAAGGAAACCATTCTCCTGAAGACCAGGGTTCCGCTTTGGAGGCGATGTGGGGCACTGGCTGACCCGGAGGCAGGGCCGTGGACCGCCTTTTCATCCGCCTAAGGTTATCACCAGTACAGAGATCTAACCCTTAGCCAGCCTTCTACCTCCCATCCTGGTCTGTAAAATTTTGCCCGTATCCTTCCCACCACATTGGCCAAGTACTATGCAAAATGCCGGCAACCAGTGGCCCCCAAAGTAGATCCTGTCCATCCACTGGTGTCTTTTGTGGATGCTCGGGGCTTACTCTTGATTTGCACTCAGGGATCACTCCTGGCCTACATGAGGGACTATATGAGGTGCCAGGGACCAAAGTCAGGCCAACAGTGTGCAAGGAGAATGCCCGAACCACTGTACCATCACTTCAGCCCCACCCATTGTCATTTTGTGCCTGGCACTGTGACCAAGCCTTCAGAAACGATGAATATTGCAAACGTGGAGGTGCAAGCATGT